TATAATTAATTAAAAAAATATTTATTTACCTTAAAAATAAAAAAAATAACAATTAATTTTAAATATATTTAAAGTAAAAAAATTATAATTATTTTAAAATAAAAAAATAATATTTCTAACACCCAAAATTTAGTACTCCAACTACCTCCAACCGTTTTTAATTGTTACTGTATACTTTGGTGAGACACGATAAAAGAAAATTTTAACAAAAAATTAAAAAAAAAAAAAACTAAAAAACATAATTATTAGTCTTTTAAATTTCAGTTTTGTTCCTGAAAAAGGTATAGTAAAAAGTTCATTAAAGGTTGGAGATGACAATTTCACCTACATACATCTGATGAGTACTAGCATTTTTACCCGTCATAGACCGGGTATGAATAAGAGATCTCTTTCCATGGCCCGCGTTGGTAAGGGTAACAAAATTTTACTCGACACTTTTTGGGTGGTGAGCGTAACGCCTTACCCAGCCTGTTTACCCAAGTAATTAATAAAATATTAAAATATTAATTTTAAAAAATATAAATTCTTAGATAATATTTAAATTCTTTAATTTTTTTATTTCAATTTCAATTTAAGATTCTAAATCTTATATATTCCTTAATTATACTTAAATGCTAACTTAAATTTAAATTAATTAACTCCCTCAAGTCTAATTTAGAGTGTGTTTAGAATTACTATAAAGTATTATGATTGTAACTATAACTGTGATGGTACTGAATTATACTGTATTATAATTATAACTTAAAAGTATTTTGGTGTTTAATTATTTATTTTTTAAAAATATTATAAAAAAATATAGTAAATTTTATTAATTAGTAATTAAAATTTAAAAGATATTGTAAGATATATAATTGTTAAAATAAGTAATATTTGTTATTGTTTAATAATTTAAGTTTTTTAGATTTGTTATCATTATTAAAATATTGTAAATTATAATATAATTAAATCATACAAAATTAAGTTTTAATGAATAATTTTATAATTATATTAAATATTAAATTTTTACCATAAAATTTACAATCACAATGTTCCAAAATAAGATTTTTTACTTTATATATAAGATTACTATAAATCTGATGTCATTTTTTTGTAAATTTTAAAATAAACAATTAAAAAAATATTAAATAAACATATATCTAAAAATATTGTATGATTATATGAAAAAACTCTTAACCGCAACTCCAAATACAACCTTAATTGTTTAAATTTGCCTATTATATAAAATTAAATTAAATAATTTTATATAATAAAAAAATAATAATTGAAAACTTTTTCTTTACATAAGTTGTTTCTGTTACGTATTTTTACTTAGATTAAAAAATTTATTAATCATCATTAATTTACTATATAAAATCATTAAATTAATTTACCAAAAGTAAAAGGAGTAGAACAATTAAAAAAGACTTAAAAGAGAATATTTAAGAAAATAGTACACATCAATTAAAACGTTCTCTCTGCATTGTAAATTAACTGATAAACAACAGTGAAAAAAGGGGTGAACCACAAACTGTACCACTGCCACGGGTATTATCTATCCAACGTTAAATGACAGCAAGCTCTTGCTCGAATAAAGCCACCACAAGGCAATGACCAATTGAGAAAACCAGGTCGTCGTGGTGCATCAGCAAGGCTACAAAAAGACAGTTACCGATTGGCAACCGAAAGGTGATATTCAATTGCCGAATCCATGGTACATGGCAGTAGAGTAATAATGAATATTACCAGGGATTGGGAACTGGAGGTAGTTGGGGCGAACACTGCATTGAGAAAGAAAGGAATGATTATCAACCCGAGGACGCTTATTTCTACTCTGTTGCCCAGGTTGTTTCTTGAGTCCAGTTGGAAGCTTAGATTGTTTTTCCAGCTCCTTCAGCAAAAATGCATTACGGTTTCTAAGCCCATCATTGAGAATCTTAGATCCAAGCTTGTATTTCTCAACCAATCTTCTTACTTCCTCTACAGAAGATATCTCTCTCTTTATGGTGTTAATCTGTAGGCAAATTATACACAAATTATAGAAAGGATTATGCAGCCAGTGAGGATTAAGAAAAAGCAGTAAATCTTACCTTTGCGTTGACACTCTTCCTATTTTTCCAGCATGTATTTCTGGTTGACCTCCTTAAATTCTCCAAGTGGTTTGTCAGAAGAGGTAATGGTGGGAACTTGTGAACCATATCGAATGAATAGATATATTTGACAGCTTCAAGAACTGAACCGTTTTCTATGTGCTTTTGAATAAATTCTGTACCAAAAAGTTGAGAAAAAGGAGTAATGATACAAAATACAGTTGTAGTGGTAACGATACAAGATTCAGAAGTAATTTTATTCTTAAGACCCAGCAGTAAAAACTACTAAATTTGAAGGTTTCAATGCATTCCTTTAATTTAAAATGAACTTCAAAAGTGCATATGAATTATTTTAAAAGCTTCTATAATAAACTATTTTACTCGTCTGAAATCTACCTCCATTTCGAGAACATCCTAAAATGTTACAATTGTTGGTTTCCATTCTATCTTTCCTCAATTATTAAGATTATAACAATGACTGCTTTTCAAAAAAAAAAAAAACAAAAGGGATTATAACTATGACCGAAATGCATTAAACAGTTTCCAAAAGCCTCAGGCCCAAGCCAAGATGCCCTTTTGACTAGCTAATCCCCACGCTCACGCACTTAATTTGAGAATTCCCATCAAAATTCATGCTCTTTTGACAGAGCAAATTTTTAGACTAAATATGGCTTAATTACTAGAAAGTCCTTTTCCCTCACCATTGTTTTCTCTGTAAACATCTACTTTATGCATTGTCCAAAAAAAGATAAATACAATTAAAGTTTAAATTATTTTAAAAAATAAACTTAAAATTTTATATTAATAAGAGTATAAAAATTTCAGTATTCTATTCACCAGTAAAAGTAATATAACGTTCATGCTCTATCTATAGATGCTCTTGCTATCCAAACAAGTTCACTTGATTCTATAATATAAAAAAATTTTGAAAGATGCTGTGGAAATTTTTAATTTTAGTTTGTGACAGGTGATCTATTTGGAGTTTTAGCCGAACAAGTAACAACTACAACACAGCCCATGAAAGTCATACACGGCTCTAAAGAGTGAAGACCAAATCAAAATTCCATCTAATAAAAGGATGAGCTACGTAATCTACAAGCAAGCTTAAATGCTTCTAACTTGCTCAGATAGTCCATTAATCTTTCGAGTCAAAGATTCCACTAATAAAAAAAATTAGCAAAGAACATAAGGGAACAGAAGGGAGAATATCACATCAAGGTGAAAATAAAAGATGATATAATTTATGAGACAAGGAGAGAACTTACTAGGAATTTCCTCCACCAAACCAAGGACTTCACATAAATCAGGGGCCTTTTGACGCCAATAATCATTATCCAAGAGATCAAGAAGCTCATCTGGTTTAAAAGCAGTAGCTAAACCATAAGTGGCTAAAAATTGCAGAAAACATGTGACTTCCAAATATTCTCTTTTCTTTCCCAGTTTTTGTTTCCAGTCAAATGCATATTTCATGGCTTCATCTTTCACCTGTGGCTTAATTTCCGGTGAGATTCTTCTTAATTGCTGCAACAATGACAGGCAGCTCTGCAAAGTAACACATAAACTGAAACCCTTGTTTTTCTCCATTTTTGAAGGACCAAAACCATAAATGGTGTCCAAAACAAGTCTGGCTGGATCTGTTACAGATTGAAGAGCATCAGTAATTTCAGTATGCATTTTGTTATCATTCTTGGGCGTCTGTAGTAAGAATCTCAAAGCCTCTCCATCCATGCTATTATTAGAATCTTGAGGCACTTGCTTGAGTCCCAAGGATGAAGAAGTCTTCCCACTTTCAAGTGGTGGATTTGCTGGTGAGTCCTCCTCCATTGTAACATCTGAAGGCACTAGGCAAATGGCTAAACAAGTAAACAAAATTATAACAATAGGACTAAATTAGCAGTTGAATAACATTAAATTTATAGTCCAAGGTACCCCAAAATTTTAAGTTAATAACTGAGTAATATTCAACTGGATAGGGCGGTTGCGATCCAACTATTTGAATTTTATTTTTTTAACAGGAAAAATGACATACTAAAAGCACCTTCTTCTCAATGTAGAAATTTCCAGACTTATTAAGGATTTTGAAAGATGCAAATTATCATCATTATATCCAGGTCGTGAATAAGCAAATGCAGATGGTAGAAAATCCTACAAACCGTTTTGCACATCCAACTAATTTGATTACATTAATTATATATATATATATATATGTCTAAAGATGATCTTGTTGATAGCTGACAAAGCAAATAAGCTCGGAATTCTTTAGGGTCTCAAGGTATTTAGGAGATACAAATTCAAGCTTGTGATCTACAATACATCTTACATAGCTTTCGAGTCCACTACTCTTGAACAATCTGTACACAAGTTCTTAGAAGCTGCAACAGGGGTAAGGTTGCTATGAATGGTAATCTAAGTTACTCTAGCAACAACAAAGTAGAAAAGAAGAAGAGATCAAGAATGCAGTAGAAACGAAAGCTCTCCAGATAACCCCATACTCAAAATGAATTGCTAAGTGTATTTATAAGCAGCAAATTCTAATCCTAAAATTATGATTCTAAGAATTTAACCAACTCTTACTCTAAATAGACTAATAACTCTAGTAAATGGCTTAGAAGACATAATTTGATTCTAATAAAGACTTCATCTTAACTAGACTTGTAAATTTCCCTTGAAGTTGCAAACTGATTAATATCTAAATATTTCAATAGCATAACAAGCAAAAAATAGATAAATTGTTCTTCATGGATTCTTGCATGGAAGCATCATGAGTAGGATGACAATTTAATTAAAAAAAAAAGAACTAATAAAAATAGGTAAGGCAAATAGAAAAGTAAAAGAATATAGGGAGCCAAAGTCTAAAATCAATTACCTGAAGTCTTATTGGCAAGACCAAGTACACGGAAAAGTTCAGCATCTTGGCTATGTTGAGGAACTTTCTTATAAAGATCCAGAAGCTCCTCATCACCAAAAGCATCAGCTAATCCAAAAGAAGCCAAAAGCTGGAGGAATCCTAAAACGTCCAAGTGATGGCCAGCATCTGTTGTAATTTTTGTAAGCCAATCAACCGCAATTTTCAATGCTACTTTTCTAACACGCAGATTGATTTTAGGTGAAAGTTTTCTCAACTGTTCTAATAAGAGAATGCAGCTGCTCTTCACCACATCACCTTCAAACTCCATGTCTCCAACCCTTAAATGTGGAGGGTAAAATCCCTCCATTGCATGCAGGACTAGCTCTGCAGGGTCTGATGAAAATTGAAGAGCTCTAGCAATATCATCACGAATCAAATGATGCTCTTTACAGCGCTCATTCAGGAAAATCTGCAATTCCTTTCCATCCATAACTACAAAAAATCGAAGAACTGCATCTGAATGACTGTCTGAATCTTCTGCTGGCTCAAGTTTCCCATGAAAATGAGAGGATTTAGCAACATCAAGCCCATTCTCTTTCAATTCAAGTTGTTCAGAAAGCTCTTTAAGCCTCTTCTCTTTCAACTTAAGCTGTTCAGACCATTCTACAAGCTGGTCCTCCTTCAATTTCAATCCCTTAAGCCATTGTTCACATTTTTCCTCCTGAATTTGTAGCCGTTCAGACCGCTTCTCACATTGTTGAAAATCCAATTCAAGCTCTTCACACTGCGATTCATATTTTTTCTTAAGCCCTTCCAATAGTTCTTCACATTCCTTGTTAAATTGGACATCTCTATACCTTTCTTCATAACTCTTCTCTTGTGCTTTCCATTCCAAATAACGTTCTTCAAAACGCTTCTCTTTCAACTCAAGATCCTGAGAACGTTGCTCAAAAGCCTTCTCTTTCAATCCAAGTTGTTCAGACCATTCTTGAAGCCTCTTGTCTTTCAATTCAAGCTGTTCAGACCATTCTTCAAACTTCTTCTCCTTCAATCTCAATGTTTTAAGTCTCTGTTCATACTTTTCCTCCTGAATTTCAAACAATTTTGACCGCTTCTCACATTCTTTAAATTTGGATTCAAGATTCTCACACAGCAAGTCATATTTCCTTCTGAGTTCTTCAGATAATGCTTCCACTTGCTTCTCCTTTAATTTGAAACTTTCTTCAAAACGCTTCTCTTTCATCTCAAGATCCTTAGAGCGTTTCTCAAAAGCCTTCTCTTTCAATCTCAGATCCTCAACTTCACCATTAACTGATTTTCCCATCAACTTCAGCTCTCCAATCCGTTTATTAGTCGACTTTTCAGTCAAAATCAGATCTCGATGTTTAGAACCAAGTTCATCCAACTTTCTCTGAGTCGATTCCCGAAGTAATTGAAGCTCTCTGGACGACTTCTCAATGGACTCAACCTCACTACGCCTTTTCTCAGCATCCAACTTCTGCTTAGCACAAAATTCTTCCTCTTTCCTTCCAATTTCTTTGGCCTGCAGTGCAATCGAGTCCTGAACCAAAGCTAGGTTCTTAGCCCTCTGCTCCACCATCTCCTCTTTCAAAACTAACTGCTCCTCTCTTGACTTGAGTTCCTTGAAGCATTCTTGCACATGATTTTGACTGGAATCGATAAATTCCTCGATCTCCCTCCACTGACGAGTGAGCGATAGAATCGAAGAAGCACTATCACGAAGTTGCGCCGAAGTTGTTCGATAATTCTCCTTGAACGACTCGTAGATGCTCAAATCAGTTGCTTTCTTCTCCATCACGAAACAGAAACCCTTTTTTTTTTAACAACAAAACAGAAACCCTAGAACCTAGAAAAATCTAAACATTCAAAAAGAAGATAAAGCGGAACAGAACCAGACTGCTAATGCAAAGAAAGACGCCGAAGACGAAGAAAGAAGGTACCAGTAAAGAGAAATTTTTAACTTCTCTACACAAAATTTCAAGTTTAAGGTGCGTCTAGGGATCGTATAATGTAATTGTATGATGTTTTTTAAATATATATAATAATTTTTTAAATTATTTTTTTAACTTT